CTGGAATGCAGCTTCTTGCAGTAGTTCATGAAGTCGAGTCTGAGTCAGGGTGTCAGGCGACGACGAACATTCGGGCTCAACCAAACCGCTGAAAATCCTAAGATTCTGCCTACCGTCTCAGGGGTCAAAACTTCTTGATCATCTCGAGTGATGGTTTCAATGATGCTAACCTTGTCTTGGGTTGTTGACTCAACAGCTTTTGCCAAGGCAACTCGCTCACGGCGTAGTTCCATTGGCAGTTCATCAATGAACGAACAACATTGCTTGCACTACACGCGATGAGTCGAACGGCTTGATCCCCTGTTATCGGTGGATTCATGCGGGCAATCTTCAGGCTTGTATTGGGGTTTCTCTTTCCTTTTCTCGGTGGATGAATGCCCACAACGCAAACACGTGCGACGAATCGTGTATCCCGTGCTCCCTCGGAACGAAAACTCCTGGCAGTTCTGGCACTTGTTGGGCAATGGCGGATAAGGCGGTGTTGCCTTTGCAGTTCCTTTCTAGGTGCTACCGGGCAATGCAGGGGGAGGTTGAACAGGTTCGTCTCGAAGGTAAATCTCTCCACCCCTGAACTCAGAGAACTGATCAACCCATTGCACATACTGCTTAATTCTGGGAACACGAGAACCTTCCTTCTTTGCCCATACATAGAATTGGGGTTGTCGATGCAGAACATCCCAATAGGTCTTCCCCTTGAACTGCCCAATCTGAAACACATTGAATTGTCGAATCCCATGGGGCGCTCGACCGACGACGGAGTCACTCGGGTGCCTAATTCGGACGAAGTGGCATCATTTGCATGAGCCATGGACGACTGTGCCTGCGACGGACGGGGACGAGAACCCTTACCGGATGCTCCTGATCGAAATGCCATCATGGCAGCATTGGTCTGCTCGGTAGACGTGGCTACACCTACATAAAAAAACCCTTCTTCATCATCTGATGACTCACTCTCATAGGCTAGGTTGGCAGTAGGCTTCGGGGTTTGTGGCTTCTTGGCAAACTTGCAACCAGGGTCACCTGCCCAATGTCCCATGCCGCCACAGCGAAGACACTTGGACTTGGCCTTCAGGTCACGAAGCTTGGCACGGCGTTGCTCAATGCTCATTTGGCTGCGGACAACCTTGCCTTTGCCTTTACCTTTGAAACCTTTCTTGCCAAAACCTTTGCCTTTGCCTTTTGCTTTGCCGAATGCATTGAATGCACCGAGCTGAAGTCCTGAGTAGTGGTCAACGAGAACCTTGCAATATCCTTCGAAGTTCTTGGGGTTGGCACATGCTTTGGTCACAAGGATCTCCTGGCGTGACAAACCAGACAATTCGAGCAACAGTTCGGCACGAAGACTGTCACTCAGCACCATGGTCGAATCCAATTCCTGCAACACAGACCACCAACGTTTGCGACGGTTGGTGTAGGACAGCATGGATTCTCCAGGCTGGCGAGACAAAGGGCCTCCGTGCTTCTGGCCAGCGCGGAACAACTCCTTCGCCTCCTCATTGGCACGTGGGAAAACGAAAGCCTTCATCTTCTGCAATAGGTCTTCCAATCCTTCCTCACTGGTCAGGGCATCAAGACCGACGTCCCTGGCGAGCAAAAAGGCATCTCCACGCAAACATTCAAGAATCTTGTTCACGAGCGGGCTGATGTCTGGCTTGGTGACAACTACTTCCTCTTCTTCTTCTTCCGGTTCGATAGGAGGGAAACCTGGGAGCTCAGCGTCCTCCTCAGTACCTCCATTGGGCATGTCACCCTTCTTTGGTGTTGTCGCTGGAGTGCTCTTTCTGGAATGGCTCTTGTGTTTGTTGCCTTCTTTCCACAAACGAATGCGAGGGCGGGTGCGAAATTCTCAGTCACGAAACGATGCGGCATCACCATAGTAGATGTACGAACCAGATTTGGTCTCCAAATGAGTACCGCCTGCTGAATTCTTGTCGGGATTAAAGCGAAGTCCTGCGACCGACATTCCTTGTCTGTCAGGCCTCAACGGGCAATTTCAAGAAAACTTGGTTGCAGATTCTCGGCACGAATGCACGAACGAATCCTGGATCGGTGGATTTAGGGGTTGATGGATGCAGCGGGACGAACCCGAACCTGCTCCGCTACCAATGTGAAATTGGTCCCGACCGCGACGTCCAACGGCGTTTTCACGCAGGCGTAAGCGCGGATAAGCTCAAGGGCCCTGTAAACCCAAACGGCGGCGGAATGCACCATGGACAGAACTCGGCTGTACACAAGATACCAACAACAGGGAAAATTCACACGCGTGATCACATATGCGTGCTTTCATTTGTGTGCTCTGAGGCATGCTCGCTTATTCACCCTTTTCGAGAACGAAATGTTGCAAAAGCCGCCAATCAGAATGGCCAGCGCCATGCAGAAACATTTTGGTTTTGGCCAGTGTCATCATGCTCAAATCCATCGGACGACTTGTGGTTTGGGCCCACTGCACAGTATACTGGGTGTAATGGAGAACCTCTTGCCAATGTACCGCTGGATCCTGCATCCAACGTGGGCCACAAGTAATGCGTTCAACAATGGTACGGACGCTGCAGCTCCGACCCTCTCGCGTTGTTTCTCCCCTTCAACGGATGGGGGGCCTGGTGCTAGGGCAGCCGCCCCACTTATACATAGCTCGTACTGCTGCCCTCGCGGAGAAAGATCAACAACGTGTTTCGCCGTGTTTGCATTAGCGCATGACAAGTGTTGTTCATGTTGCAATTGGCTTGCGTCCGTGGCAGTACATGGTAGACAATTTGTTGTTTTTTTTAAGTTTTGGAGGTGGGGAAAGAAATGCCAGAAACACATGTTGGTCGAAATATACCCCATCCAATACGCCACTATGAAATCAGGGGGTCCACCCCTTATAAAACCGTCTCATACAAATGAAAGTAGGGGGTCCTCCCCCCATTTCATAGTGAACTTTCATTTCATATGAACGTTAAAGAGGGGGTCCCCACCCATTGCACAGTGATTTTGTATTTAAAAATCGAATGCACTGTGATTTTATAGACATTGATTGGCGTGCTATCAAGAATGTCCAGATATATGCCGCCAGTACGTTTGAACGCAGGATTTCATAGATACAGACTGTCTGAGTATAAGTCCTCCAGCGGGGTCAAGCATGGGACTTTATAGTGGTGGCCTGTTTTTCCGTTCCGCCAGTACGTTTGAACGCAGGATTTCATAGAGACTTGACACTATGTATATCTGTGTATTATGAGTGCCCCAACAGGGTCAAGCGTGCGGCTGTATAGAGGTTTCGTCCCGCCAGCACGTTTGAACGCAGGACTTCATAGAGATTTGACAACGTTGGACAATATGTACGAGTTACGAGGTACAAGTTTCATCCCGATTTCCTCTCTATAAAATCACTCGTTTGTCCTCGTTGCAGTGTATCACGGACACGAGTGCTGACAGGTATCCAAACACGTTCAAAATGAGGGTCCATACCATACTCACCAAATTATCCGGACCGAGGGGGTCCATACCCCCAAAACATACCCCCCAGTACGTCCAACCCCACCGTTTTATATCTATGAAATCCCAAGCAAGACCCCCTGGTGGAATGCGGAGGGGTATGTTGAAACCTTCACTTTCGCGCTTGGAAAGGACCACCGACTCAGCTGCTGCCAGACACAAAGGTGAGATTTCGACATTAAGTAAAACACTTATACAAAACCTGGTCCCTGACTGTGTCAGTTTTGCTTTCATTGGCGCAGGTTCCACGGCTGCCGTGGAACTGATGAAACTCTGGAATTTTCAAGCAGGCAAGGGTAATGATACATACGGCTGAAGGTTTGAGGAAAAATGTTGGTTTCATGTCCAGCTGGACTTGTTGGATTTGTTTCGCTGCAGGCTGGATTGTGTTGTATTGTGTTGTTGCTTGCACAATGCCCTCTCCGCCCTTGGCCACGAAAACCCAAACTTCAGCCAGGAACCCGGTGAGTTCGTTGGGTGCTTCACGTGTGTGTTCCATACGAACCCCGACTTCATGCGGAGTTTCGCCTTTAACATTTGTGGCTGCAGACGGGGGTTCTCCGGGTGACAACAACACAAGCAAACGTCAGACGAGTCCAAAACGCGGAGCCTGCCTGTGTTTCTGATAAAGTGCGCTTGCTTTGATGCATTGAAAAAGTACTAAGACAAACGTTTTTTTTGAAAAATCCGCGCGAAGAAGTCGAATATGAACAGAGTAATGCCAGATTTGGACAAGGTGTTTTTTCATCTCCCCAGTCAAGGTGTGATTTCATGCTTTTTGCATATGGCATTTCATGCGGAAAAAACATTCAAAAATACTTCTGGCACCAGTGAAAAATGGATGTGGTGCTTTTTACAGCGTAAATCACAGTGCATTTGCACGGCCAAAAGAAGAGCTATGTCTGATGGTCTGCCCTTCTTTTGTTTGATGGCTTGCATTTCATTTTAGCAGCCGTAAGCTTCGACACGAAGAAAATTTGTGCCTGTTTGTAATTTCTAGGGTCCTACTGTAGGTCCCCTAGGCGTGTCTACGCTATACGTGTGTAGCACCTGTTGTTCGTAGTTGCTTTACCCCTCACCCCCCCAACCCACCCCCACCACCCCATTTTAATCACACGACTAATCGATGACAATGTTGTGGTGATGACAATGTTGTGATCGATGACAATGTTGTGATCGATGACAATGTTGTGATGCTGACGTTCCCGATGTCCCCGATGATGCTGAAGTCCCAGAACCACATTTGTTGATGCTTATTGGCTCTTAGAAGGACGGAAGGAACGGCATTCATTCCACAAGGGGCTCTCTTGCACTTGATAGCCGGAATACAGTGGATGTCATTTCATCAGCGGAGGGGCCTTCCTCCAAGCGGCCGTTGCACAACGCCGCTGGTAGTAACTTGGAAACAGATACAAAACGGGCAAGGTACAAGAACGGGGAAAATCATAGTGTTACTGTTCACGCCACTGGTATAGGTTTCACACACGCAACGCCGCTGATGTAGGTGGTTGGTTGGACAGCTTGTTCCGTTGCCCATGCCGATTATGATTTGGGATGGTCGACTGGCGTTTTGCATTTGAACGCCCTTCGCGGGCCATGGGCCGCCCTGCCATGAGATGCGCCGGACTGACACGGCTTAAGAATGATTGGGCAGCGGTGGGTTGTGAATTGGTCAGTGATAGGTGCGTTTGAGCCATCAATTGTTGCGAGAGGTTGAGGCAAGGAAGAAAAACGTTTGTGGGGGTTTTGAAATTGAAGGACGACCATGATTTCGGCAGTAGGACTCCATAAGGTTTCTGGAACAAAACGGGTTTTGGTTTGTTTGACTGCCCAGTCACTGGACCAGACCTTGGTGAATGGACCATGTGCCCTTTGGAGGACCAACGATGGCTGTGCCACAAACTTTGGCACGCCCGGATCGCGCACCCGTTTGTGCAGGTTGGTTAGCGCACCAAAACATATCACAAAAACCATTCAAATCGCGGCCATACTCTTCACCAGCTCACACATTGCATTGTCACTCAGGTTGCAGCCTTGTTTTTTCTTCGCGCGCGGACCTCCCGTGCCCCAGCTAGGACTTGTAGCCATGCTCGAAAAAAACCAGCGATTGGGCTAGCCCCGACCCAAGCAAAGTAACACAAAAGAAGAAGGTGACCTATCTAATAGTTGTTGGAAGATGCCAGCTTGTGCTCACATGCTCCATCCTTCTTTTTGCTTGGGGCAGGTCGGCACGGTTTGCGGCCGCAGTGGACAAAGTCTCCTTGCTACGGCTGTTGCAGAACCCAGCAACCCCGACAGGCCCTATGGACCGATTAGACCATCCAGCGCTGACCTTTTGCAGCCTCAGGAGTATATAATTGTTCCAAAACTAGTTGCGTTTCGGTGCCTTGTGAGGGGGGCACTGTTCTGAGCCTCCTTTTCTACAATATGTTAATCACGCTCACACACATGTCGCACCGTTCTTGATACATTATCATAGCCCCCGTGCAGCCGCTGGGGTGTGCAGGTTCCTTGCCGCACTTGGTCAGCGAGACCTTGGCGGAAGAGTTACGCGGTGCGAAGGAGGTCACTGTGCTTTTGGCCTCGTTTGCCAGGCGGGAGTCAAGATTGAATTCCACAAACCACAAACACAGGGACTTCCTTCCAGCATATATTTTGTCTCCAGGTAGTCACCCGCATGCTTCATCCACATTATAACTCTTCTTTTCGTTTCTTCCTCCTCGTTACCATGTCGTTTTGCCTCATTCCTGTTTCCCCTTTTGGTCCGGGAAATTTTCATTTGCACTGTTCCTCATTTCCCATCCATCCTCACATCATCCATGTCATCCATCCTCCAGAACCGATGTGCGAGTCGTCATCGAACACAGCATCAACACCGGTGCTTCACAAAGACCCACTTTCTGCAGTACATCCGGCGGGTTTGGCTCGAGTGGCGCCCCGTTTTCCCAAGAATTGGTCAGACCAACGCAGACAACACTGAAAAGGAACCGCGACCAACGATTTTATCACCACAGCCACAGCATAGAAGAGCCTTTGTGGAAAGAGGCCGTTGCTGTTCGACGGTTACAATTTGGATCAGCGGTTCACGACTCTCGACTCTCACCGTTGCGAGACTCACCCGTTGAGAACGCTGGTATGCGTGGTCACGCATGTTCCCCAACACACCAGTTCCAGTGGCCAGGGTTCAGCATCCCACTTTCTGCTACGAGGTCGTGTGGCTGCTTAGGTGTGGGGCAGTGTGTACAGTCCAGAGCGTAGGGAACCCTGTGCCAACAACAACGCTGTGACGTGCTCGTTTTCCTCAGCTCTTCTTCAGGCGTTCCTTGTGGCGCGCAGCGGCGGCTCTTTTGCTGAAAGCCGATGCCGTGGTGGACGTGCCGGCGCTGGGTTCCTTGCCAGACCTCGGAAACATTAAGACACAAGTGACACTTGCCGACGCCCCACACAACGGGCGACATGATGAACCCAGGTGCTGCAGTGAGGGCGTTTGAGAAGAGCGGGCATTGGCAACTGGCCTTGGCGCTCATCGAGGAGCCCCACGAATGTGGGGGAAAGGGCCATAACATTCTCGCCCTGAGCAGGTTTGACACGGCCAAGTAGTTGCAAGATTTCTCCACCGAACTAGTTCATCAGGGTGCTAACTGAATGTCGGCACTACAAGAATCAATCCTCGAAACGACCAAGACACTGATATGATTATAGAATTGTCTGTTTGATTGATGAATGATTGCTTCCTAATTAAGTGCGATGAGTGCCGGCGTGCCATGCAACTCCCCAAAATTCACATTTACACCAGTTGGAGTGGCTCATTTGTTGGCCAAAGCAGGAGTTTAGTGGAATTTGCTCGCGGCGCTTGCGCCCGGACGGCGGAGTGTTTGGCTCTGTTTTTCTCGCGGCTCGGCAGAGGGTGGGGTAAGGGAAGAGAAGAGCATACAACACGACAAAACTGGCCATGTCACAATCAGCAGGGCACCGGTTCAAAAAAATCCATCCACTCCCACCAAAAAAACCTGCTGCCTTTACCGTCCTCTGTTTGGGTGGTGTATGCTTATATACTTACTGTATATCGTTGGAGCAAGTCGACCGTGGACTCTTAAAGCCTCTTGGAGCGTGCGGGGTGGCACGTGGTGCGCCGTTGCAGGTAGGCTGATGACTGATATTGAGATGAACCTATTGTATATTCACAGCTTGTGGGATATTGTGCAGGCCAACAGACTTTGGATGTCCCGTTTTGAAGTTACTGTACATAGTTGGTGGAAGGATAGTGCTGGTTTCGTTCGTCCAGTGCTTGAGTTGGCGCCATGCGAGGCCTGCGGCGCAGCGAGCCAGTGGCGGACAGCGTGCGAGATGTTGGAGCAGCTGCTGAGGAGAGGCGAAGGTCATCCCGAAGAAGTCACAGCTGACATACCTGCAAAATTCGGATGGATCAAAACCTGGAGTCTTGGTCCGGACTTGTAGCTTGACTTTCCAAGTAGTCTAGTTTGTTCATTTGGGGTGGTCCCGGTGTTGACCCACAGCCGGCCGGGATGCTGCCTCCCCTCCGCCACTGGCACCAGGTGAAGGCTTGTAGGTCAAAGGCGGGGATTTCTTTCTTCGCGCTTGTCCAGGAGGAAGGATGAGGCGCTGCAGGTGCGAGTGACCTGAGAACGGCGGGAGACATGGCCAGCTCACGTCAATCAGTTGAGCTTGACTCCATGAAAGCAAAGGACGCCCCACTGCCCCGGCGGGGTCAGTGTCGATGGCACCAAACCTTTGCTGGAGCGCTTGTGGAACGTTCGACCGGGACATGCACGTACGACGGGCGAAGACACGCGCTGTCACCAGTGTCTTGCGAGATGCTGTTGCAGGCATGGCCGGTAGTTGAGTGGCAGCGTGTGGGCACGGCTGCGCTGACGGCTTGTGGTGTTTCGGGCTGAAAGGGGTTGGTATGAAAGGGGCACAGGGGGTGGAGCGTGCGGAAGTGGAAGCAAGGACATTTTTGCAGGAGCTCAAAGAGTTTCTTGTCGTGGTTGGTACATGTGCTCTCGGGCAACTAGTGGTAACTCAACAGAGTCATTGTCGCATTTTCTTAGAGAATGTCTCAGTGCAATCTTGTAAACCAAAAATACAAGTTTATATTTGGGTCTCAAAAACAACATATCCCAGTTTTGGGTCGACCCTTTTTCTCCTTTTCTTTTTTGCGAGTCTGTCGATGAGCGACCTCCCCGGCTCTCATGAGCGACCGTCGCCCGGCCGATTTCTTTCAGACGATCTGCTTGAGCTCCGATTCTGGAGGCGTCGTGAGGCGTCTTGCGACACGGGAGAAGTGGCTGTGACCAGCTCCACTTGCTCTCGAGGTCGAAGCCGCGAATGGCGCAGAGGAAGCCAGCTGCTGCAGGTGTGGGGACCCGTGACGCGTGAGGACCTGTGAGGACCTTTGGAGGGGATTTTGAGTTGCATGAACATAAAGAATGTCCAGTCACTGCATGTCCTTCCTCATGCCTGCGCAGATGCTACAGCAGAAGGGGCTAGAGCTCTCAGCAGTGCCTTTCAATGCTGCCATGCGCTACAGGCGAGCCACCTTGCTGCGTAAGACGTCACACATTCGATGGACGACCAGCACCGACGGACCGCTTCGCCGACGGCCGAGGAATGGCAAGCTGGGCTGGGAGGGGAATTTGGTGGCCATAGAGGACAGACGGAGGATGTGCCGCAAGTCTCGTTCCATGGGTGAGGTGGACCGGACCCTTCGTTTCAGTACATGCCACCGTGTTTTTTTTTTTCCTTCTCCTCCTCCTCACTAGACCATCACATGATCAAATGTGCTTGTCAAATTTTGGCCGTGTCGCCATCACTGTCTCACAATCATCACAATAAGGAATTATGTCGGAAAGAAGCCCAACCATTTTGTGGTAGGATTTTTCTGGGAACGGTTGGGGGCGATTATTGCTCCAATGATCGAATGCAATGACTGCAGCTCGTTCTGCATCCAAAGTCAGCATTTATGTAGGCCAAAGCCATGGTGCTTTGAGCCTTTGACCCACAGGGTGCCATCACTTGCTTCGACTGTCCTGTAGGATGCATCCAGTACAACACAGCGACGTTGCCAGATCCGTTGTTGCCATGGATTTGAAGTCACACTTGAACAAAAAAGGGAAGCCGGAACCACCAGAAAGACAACACATAGTGAAACAAAACCAAGGCTTTCTGTTCGAGTGTTTTTTCGGTGTTTGTTTTGATTTTTGATTGAAGCCGTGATTTGCTGGCTTCCTTCGTGCACTTTGTGGCATTTCTTTGTTAAAGATCCCCCGTGTAAAAACATCCTCTTGCCAAATCGCGGATGTTGCAAGGAGTTGAAGAGTGATCACATGACCTTAAACACTCTGGCAGGGGTGCCCAAGTGCAATGTAATGGGCTCCATGCTTGTACAGATGGGAATGAATCACGCCGAGTCATTGATCAACGTGCCTAGTGCCTAGTCCCAGTCTTTCAAGGCCATTGTGGACAGTGAGTGGGAGCTTGTCAATTGCGCATGCAGTTTGGGGCCCTTTGATGTACAGTTGTCCTGCAGGCTTCCAGTCTGCATTCTATCCACCACTGGGTGTCCGTTTGAGCAACAATTGGGAATTGGGTTCGCAGGGCCAAGGTGCAATTAGGACCGTGAAGGGTGACATCCGCACATGCTACTGAACCCAGTTATGAGTACCGGAACCAGTGTCAGGTGCCGGAAGACCTGCCACGAAGCTTTTAAACATCCCAATTGGTGAGATTCGGTGAGCATGCACCAGAAGAAGCAAGGTGCAAAGCTGTGGCGAACGCTTAGCCTGGCAAGCTGCCATCTCCGTGGTAAAGGTGCCGAAGTGCGGGCGTTTTGTCCTGTTTGTTAATCTTCGGTCTTAAAGTGCGGCCAGGGAAGCACCTGCTCGGGAAGTCAGTTCGGTTCGTAGCATTTTAGCAACAAGCATGTTTGGAAGCCTGCTCTTGGTTTCAGCAGCACCATCGCCAAGGGCATCACCAAAACACCCGGAATGATGTGCTCTCCTGTCATCCACATCCTCGTCCTTATGTGGCTAACCACATTTTGTGAGGCGGCCTCACCCTGGTTGGATGTGAGCCCCGACTCCATGAGCTGGGAGCCCGGTTGGGAATCAGGTCCCACAGGTCCGCAACCGACACACGGGGAGCAACGGTTGCAGAGGTGATGCCACCAACGTTGCCACCTGTTTTGCATTGCCTTTAAGATGTCAATGTAATCATGATTCAGGCATAGTGGCACCGGTCTGTCACCATTACTTTTCCAGTTTGCTTTCTCCCCACCATTCCATTTTTGATTCCGTGCAGCTCCATCGCCCCCCTTTGCAGCGCCACAGCTTTGACCTATCTGCGGCCATTCGCAAAGCTCCAGTTGTTGCCCTAGATTTTGCTGTTCAGGCTTCAACACCGCCATCTCTGCATGTAGGGGCTCCCGGACCACAGCAGTTCTGGAAGCAGACATGTGCAGCCATGGGGTCACGGGGTCCCTTACTTTTGGAGCCCTTTGATGCTTAATGATGCTTGAGTGAACATAGTGAACGTCTGACTCCACCTGACAATGTCGGTTTTGTGGCTACCTTTACCCGCCAAGTGATAAAGAGCAACATGCACCACAAGTTTCCTGAATTGCTACATTTGTGCCATCGCGCTTTCGCTTCTTTACACGTCTCGGTGCAGTTTTAGGCCCAAGCAGGCGCCCAAACCTTCCAGCCCAGCCCAGGCGCCCGCGCCCACGAGTGGCAGCAAAGCTTTGTCCGGGACACTCAGCTCTTCGGTGTTTCGACGCTTCGGTGCGCCGTGCGGGCGCGGTCGAGACACTTCGGCCGTTCCGGGCGCGCGGAAGGGGGCGGAAGAAGGAGGGGGCGGATCCTGTCCATCGCAGCCTCCCTTTGTCTCCGACTGGTGAAGCAGCCTCCTCACCACTCGTCGACATGCGCGAGGCCCTGCTCTTTGAGATGGAGGCCCTCCGGATCTCCCCGACGGTGGTGTCCTTCAATGCTGCCATCACCGCGGCGGCTGACTGGGAGGCGGGCCCGGCTGACTGAGTGGGTGAGATCTGAGAAAGAAGCTACTGCTACTAGAAGGTGTGGAGGATGGAGTGCGTTGCAACACGTGGTTTTGTGATTAAGCTGCTCGAAGAAACATGTGGCTGTAGAGGCTGAAGGGCACGGAGCTGCTTTCCAACAGTTTGAGCCAAAATGATCAGCTGTCGTGAAGAAGGTGCAAATGGCCCATTGAATAAGTCAATAGGTGGAGGAGTTGACCAGGTATGCAGTCACGCAGCTACATGGTCATATGGGCAAGGAGTAAACGCCGGTCTTTTCTTGACGGCATTATTTGAATCACTTGATAGGTCATCAGTTTGGCTAAAGTTGCCTGTAGATCCGACACGGATGTCTCAAAATGAGGGATCCCCATCTCCGCCTCGCTGTGACCAATGGCGGCATGCCCGTAGCCGTGCCGACGCCCCCGCACGCGGGGGGAGCGATGCTTGGCATCATTTCCTGGAACCAGTGGTGGGTCCCATGTCAGATGACCCTTCCGCGATGCCAACGTGTTATGTCTTCTTCTTTTGAAGGATGAGTGTTTTGCAAGCTTTCATGCTTCGCCATGGACATCTACAAGCAGCTCCTTGCAAACTTGTGTGTCCAATGAATGTATTTGAGGGGCTGCTTCTGAATTTCTCAATCCCATCAATCAAAACATCAAACAAACGTTTCGATTGGATGAGGCGACATCCGCCTGGGTAGATAGATTTTTAGACTTTAGACTAGACAACAAAAATCGAGGCACAGGCAGGCAGGCAGACAGATAAACAGATAGGTTAAACATGGATGGGAGCCCCATGTTCGGTTGCTCCTTCATGGCCGAGGATGGAGCAGGTGTGGCGGGGCACCTTGCGAAGCTTCTCCAGCTCCACGGGCTACGGCTTTGTACATAACGAAGAGCTGCAGCGGCACTATGGCCGTCCCTCGCAGCTGTCGGAGGGGGCGTGTGCAATGGGATCCTGGAGCGTGTGCGTGTACAATGTGAGTACACTAGAGAACCACGCAGACGAGTCCGAGATGTGTTGTTCTCTCATGTGTGATGTGGTTGCAGGGCTTACGTGGCAAACTAAGAAGACTGATTCCACAGCAGGGTGATGTTTTGCTGGGAAGCCTTGCGCAGTTTGTTTTTTCCCCAATTAGGTTGGAGGCCATCGCTACGGATTATCGCATCTCTTGCCCCCCTCACCTACTCCGTCCGACACGGACCACCGACTCACCTCCCCAACCTCGAGAGGTTCACCGGTTTGGGCGGTGGGAGGTGACGTCTATGTGCAGCAGTCGCAGCTGCCGGAGGGCATCCTCTGCGGCGCGCGCGTGATCTTCACCTGGGTCACCTGGTGTTCGCTACTAGTAACTTCTTGTTACCAGTAGTAGCAGCAGTAGCAGTAGCAGTAGCAGTAGCAGTAGCAGTAGCAGTAGGAGTAGGAGTAGGAGTAGGAGTAGTAGTAGTAGTAGTCGTAGTCGTAGTCGTAGTAGTAGTAAATGCCCTAGCTAGGACGTTACATGACGTTACTAGTAGCGACGCCCTTGTTACTACTAGCGATATGTAACGCGGATTTCGTTGCCGCGGAGTGGAGTGGAGCTGGTGGAGTGGTTGGAGTGGCATGGGGCGTTCTGCAGCAAGATTTGGCAGAATCGGACCATCCAACAAGGGATCTTTACCCGCCCCACCTGTGGGCAAGGGATGGTGTGGGAGCATGTCCGCAAGTCCGTGCATCCAACAAGGGATCTTTTGACATTGGCTGTGTTTGTTGTGTTATGGTTTTCTTTCTGTTTTACTGACATCAGAGAAGGAATGACCTGGCCAAGTGGTGGGGTTACTACAAGAGACGATAGAGTCCGATAGAGTCGAGTAATGCTCATTTTTGCTCCTTATCAATCGCCTGACAGAACTGATTCTGTAGTGGGCTACCTCTACTTCATTCCTTTTTGGCGAGTGGATCAAGCCCTTGTCCTCTGGTGGAACGCCTGAGACCTTGAACCAGCGCGGGCAGCCTCAATGCAAGCAGCTCTGGCCAGAGGTGCGGGTGCGGAGAAAACCATGTCTCGAATCGTCGCATGCTCTGTGTGTGGGCCGCTTCTGACCTTTTGGAACCCGGAGGCAGCTTGCCGTTGATCGACTGGTTGGTCTGGTTGGACTTTGGAACTTGAGGGGGGCGCCTGAGCGAGTAGACGGGCCAGTGGCTGAAACAGTCAAAACAAGTTCAATTGAACTAAAGGGGCCGGCGAGTAAACCAATCGCTTTATGACTCGATCGATTTGGAGGGGTTTCCAGTCCTCAATCCGAGATTGGGGTGTGACCAGGACGGCCCAAAACAGCCAGGACACAACGGAGGCCGACCAGATGGCAATGTTCCAACTGTTGCCCCTGTTGTTTGACTTCGAGACCTGCTCAGTCGACGCTCGGTGGACGCTCATCAGGTGGACAAATTGAATGACACCTATATCGCATTTGAATTACTCTCCATTTTTTAGAATAAAGACAGGAACTGTTGACCCCAAAAAGACGGCAAAGATCATAACAAGCTTCGTCTTTTGGGTTTGTCCTTCGTTCCCTTTATACCTTTTGTCTTTGTGGAAAGCATTGGCAATAAGACCAAAACAATAATGACGGATCCTACCGGCCAGGTTGTATATACTGTATATAGGTTTGACCAGTTTGACCAAGCGTCGAGCAGGTTGCCAGCGGTTGCCACAGCACCAGGGCTAGGTTGGCACCAGGCCTAGGTTGGCCCTACCAGCAAAAATATCCCAAAGAAGAGTTTCTGACATGGGATTGACCAACAGTCCATCCTTTTCTGAGTCGTGGCGGCCCTGCAACTGGTAGAGGGGCCCTGAGTCTTGCGAGCTATATGAGCCTTAACCTTCTCGCCAGTGTTGTCTGGTGAGGGAGTGAGATGATGGGACATTGCTTGGTGTGCCTCATACACGGCTGTGGGCTGCAAGGACACGGGCGAAGCCACTACGAGGCTGCTGTCTTGGAATATCTTGGCACCAGGGTATTGCAATGGCCATTACTTCAAGGACCGGCTTGGAGTTTCTTTTGCACTTTGCAGCCAGAGCACTCAATTTGTAAATATTGTTTGCACGGCTCCCAGCAGTTTTTCTCCTAACAGACTCGCAGGGTTCAAAGGCGCCAGAACAAACGTTAAAAAGGCGGATTGCTACTAGTAACAAGAAGCTACTATGGAGGCCATCGCTATCAGGTTGGAGGCCATTACTACTAGCTTTAGTATGTTTTTTGAACATTTTTTTTTCGGATGGAGTCACCATATCGATTTCTTGCCAGGACGTGCACCCAGACGCTCTCCGATGGTCACGCCGTGCGGTTCAGATCAAGGCATTGCTGTGGTCCTACTGTCCGGAGATCGTTTGCTTGCAAGAGGCTGAAAGGGGAGGAGCGGGACGTGGGCACCCAAGCAAGTGAGACGTCATCCGCATGGAAGCACTAGGTGATATGAGGGACCAGTAGCGGGTATTGGTTCAATCCTTTCCTTCTAGCTGGTCTGACAACTTCAGACCACTTCAGCGCATACTGTCTATTGTTGGGGAGGAAGCCAGATTCTATTGGGTCAAGGACCTATGGTGATTGAGAATTGAGAGCCAGTTACTTCCATTGGGAGGTCGAGCTTCACCGTCCGTTGGAAGAGCTTGGCTTGCGACTTGGAGCCATTTCTGTCGTCGGGTAGCTGGCCGGTTTGTGTTGGGAAACTCTACCGAACCTGCTCCCAATCCCTCCATCCAACTATCGCCACCGCTGGCGGCACGCTGTGTTGGCGCTGCACCTGGCAACGGAGTAAGCTGTTCGCTGTTTCGATCGTGTCCAAGCCCCTTCAGCTTTCACGTCGGGGGGGTTCAAGGGAGCTTGGTAGATTTGTCAGCTCAAACCACCATGTAGCGGAGCTCCAAGATTTGAGTATATAGATTACGTGCCGGGTTCCTCAAGTAGTAGATGTCAAGAAAGGAAGACAATTTCCTGGAAGCCAATGGCCTAGAACGATTTCCACCGTTCATTGGTGGTAGCAAGTGTAGCGCTGCTCTTGGTCGCTTCTTGCGGTTGCCCCACGCGCACGAGCCACGGAAGCACGGCACGAGGTCTGAATACCAGACGGCGTACCTTGGTGAAATAGAGACTTCCAGAATGGATTGAACGTGAAGCTTCGAGGTTTATTGGGGTTCTGTGGGCTTTTGGTTGGTGGGACAACTTCATCAAGTGCTGCTGTAGATGTCGCGCTGGCGTGTGATGACTTGGTGAGACCTTTGGAAGGTAAGGAAAGGTTACTCCAGGTTTTGGTCCGGTTTGGTAAGCAGTTTTAAACACATTTATATAAGAACAAACAGATTCCACTACAGATGGCCAGCTACTGATTGGGGCCAGGCCACGAATCCAAGGAGGAGCCCGTTTGCCTCTAGGGACTCTAGGAGTTACATACGTCGTTGGGTCACAATAGTAGCAGCGGCTAAGATGGGAGAATGCATGACTCAACGGATTACATCTGATTTTTGCTTCTTTGGCTGCATTGTATGGTGAAGGTTATCAAGTTTAATGCCTCTTCCAGCATGGTAGGAGCCGCATAATGGCAGGAATTGCGGGTATTTCATACAGTGTGGATGATAGTGGCACGGCTTCCAATACATTTTCTAAGTGGGGATCTACTTTTCGATCTATTTGCGGGTCATTTCTTTTGGGGTTGAGAGGGGTGGCGATTGGTGGACCCTGGCGACTGGTGGGACTGGTGGCTGGTGGCTCAGGCAAGCCCAACGTCCTCCCGGGCCCCATGGTCTGCGTCTCGACGGCTGCTTGGTGGCGTGGCGTTCCGAACGCTTTCAGTTGCTGAGGCGCGCAGGCGCGCGAGCCCGCAGAGCCTGCGCACTCGGGTGTTGAGCCCTTGTTTCTGCAGATCACCAGAAACGGAGACCTCACTGATGTAATGACATGTACTGTAGATTCTTGACTTAAAAATGGAAAACCGTCTGAA